AAACCTTATCAAACTGCTGTGCAGCCAGCCTTCAGCGCTAAGTGGAAATGCTTGGAGCCCAATGCTGGCATTCAGCCCACAGCCTCGCCTGCCTTCTTCCTTTTTGTTACCTTCTCCACCTCTTAAATTCAGGCATTAATCTCTCTTTAACACTTACTAACAAGGGCTGGGCTTTTTAATGGGCAGAGTTTATGAAGCAAGGGAGATTTTCACATAGAGTGAATATGGCACGGGGGTGGGAGGCCAGGGCCATGGAGGATTGTGCTTTCTCTCCCATTGTTTCCAGAGATTCTCTCTTTTTCTGATTTGAGGATTAATAGGAGATTAGGATCAGGGGGTTAATTGTGTGCTTCTCCTGCTACTGCACTGAGGAGAGGCTGGTAGGTGGATGTGGACAGCAAAGCGGAAACCTCCAGCAGGCACTATCTAGGCAGAAGCTCAACAAGTGTAATGATTCTTTCTTCTATTTCCCTGGTGAGGCACCAGGAGGGTCTTTTCTCCTCTCCTTACATCCCTCCACTCTTGCTTTCCTTGCAGACCAGTTCTTTCCTAACTTTCTTTAAATCCCTTTCCTCTAACAGGGTGTATAGACCTTAGTTGGAGAAATAGGTAGTGTCTAAAAGGGATTGCTCTGTATTGTTAATGAAATGAATACCCAGGGACTGGGTTTCCCATCCCCTTGCCCTGGGTTGGATGTGGTTGTATCCCGTGCTATCAGAGGAGCCCTTCCTTCATTCAAGTGTGTTCCCCTGCCCAGCTCTCTCTACAGACTCCTGCTGGCCTGAGCTTTCCCTGCTCTTAGGAGTCAGGAGTGGCTCTTGCTGGGATGGACTGACCCGTCTTTGGGGCTGTCCCATGAGCGGCCCTTGTGAACCCGGATCAGTTCCGATGTGTAAACTCTGCTGTCTGGCCTTCAGCGGACAGATACAGATTTCTGCCACCTTCCATGGCCCTACAGTTCACGGGAGAGTGACTTGACTCTCCGTCTGGGGCAGTGCCAGAGGCACGCATGGAGATGTGATTCTAGGTGAGTCCTGCGGAAAACCTTTGGCCCACCCGCGAGTCACGGACAGAACATGCAGACCCAGGCCTCGGTGACCTAAGCCCCGCATTGCTAAAACCACGTGGCCTCGAGGGCTCACTGGCCTGAGACCCCTGGATGGCGCTCTTGGCCACCCCCACTTCCCACCCCAACCTCCTGGGTTTTGGTCAGAATCCACAGCCGGTGCCCAAAGAGCGCTTCCCGCCTCTGGCACCCCACCTTCGCTGAGCTCCAGGGAAAAGAGGAGAGGGCAGCTTTCTGCAGTCAGAGGAAGGGTACATTTTCTTTGGCGTCTCTACCCTGTAAAGCAGGACGGCGGGCTGAAGGAGGACGCACTTCTGAGGGACCCAGAGCTTTTCCAAGTTTTCCCCTGCCCGCTGAAGACTGTGCACTGAGCTGGGCGCAGTTGTCGGAAACTGTTTGCACCCAGATTGCTGGGGGTCGGGGGTCGGGTGCGGGCAGAGCCGAGAGGCTGTCCAAGTCTGAGAGAGAGAAAAGTTTCTCCCAGGACTCGACCTTGGCCTCCAGCAATCGCGACAGCTAAAAAGGGACGTCTCGCTTCGACAACAGATCTCGCGGACCTTGTGGCACCTGGTTCACCAGGACCCTCGAACTCTGCCTCGGGAGACTTCTTGAAATCCGGATGCTCAAACCGGGAGGCGCGCAGTAGCCAGAAGGATGAGAGGCCCGGGTTTGGACTAGGAAAGCGGCCTTTTGAAACAGATGTCAGGGACTACTGGGAATGCAGCCCAGAGCCATGAGAAAAAAGTTAAAGGCGAGATGACACACACTGAATTGGGGCAAACATTGGAAGAGGGGACAAAACTGCGTGCTTGAGCACCGGGGTGCGGGGGAGGGGGGACAAAACCCGTATCCAATGGAAATTAAAATCTTGGGAGGAGGTGGGGACTCCTGCGCGCCCTTCACCCTCAGTTCCCCTATTAAGGATTCCGCGTCCCCTGCACGCCTGTCTTCTAGCTCCTTCCTTCCTCTCCGCTCGGCCGGTGAGCGGCGGCCGCCAGCGCCCCAGCAGCAGCTAGATGTCAGGCGAAGCCCGGAGCGCGGAGCGCGGGGAAGGGAGGGGAAGGGAGGGGAGGGGAAAGGAGAGGTGGGGCGGGGAGCGCGCGCGGGCTCGGCCAGTGCGGGGTGGTGGGCGGGCTGAGCCCGAGGACGGCGCGGGAGGGGGGAGGGAAGGGGGGCAGCTGTGGGCAGGGAGCCGGGCTCGGCCGCCAGCACTAAAGATGGAGAGGCGCCGGGGCCTTGCAGGGGAGGGGGCTCGGCGTTGACGTGGGACGCGGCGGAGGCGCAGCAGCCGGTGGTGATTTGCTAACCTCGCAGCAGAGAGGAGTTGAGGGCGATGAGAGCGGGTACTGCGAACTGCCGGGCGATGCTGTCGCTGCCGCCTTGATACGGAGAGCAACAGTTCCCCAGCAACACCCCTCCCCGACACAGGCACACACCCCCCGACAGGCACGCACACCCACCCCACAGTGCCCGGCTCGGCTGCGGTGAGTGAGGGGCCGGGAAGAGGCGCACCGCCGAGCGAGCGCCGCGCGCCGGGGCTCCCCGGGGCTGGAGAGGTCTGGGGGGCGCGCGCTCGCTTCGGCCACTCGGCCGCTGAGCTTGTGCCTTTTTTATTTGGCGTGTTCCCTTCCTGCCGCTGCAGCCGTCGCCGCAACCGGTTGGGGGTCGGCTAGAAGGGGGAGCCCCGGCTGTCAGCCTGGGCACAGCTGCCTCCCCAGCCCTTCCTCTCCAGGGCACGGTCGGGGTGAGAGCTGGGGGGCGTAGCGGTCTGCGGGGGCTGAGGGCGTGAGCAGAGGGTCGGGGATCCGGAGGCTTTGTACCGCCAGGGGCCAGCGGAGGAACAGAGCCCGTGGGTGCTCTTATGTATGCGGACCGGTGCGCGGGCGCGAGATAGGGTTGTGGTTTATTTATTTGTGTGTCTATTCGCCGGCCGGCTGGGAAGCTAGAATCGGAGGAGCTGACGAGTAGATCTGGGGGCGGAGGGGAACAGGACTGGGACTGCTTACGTTTTGTTTCTGTTTGAAAAAACGTGGTGGGCTTTTTATTGGACTTGATGCCCCCCTTTTGCAGGGGAGGGAGGGAAGCTCCACAGGGTCTCCAGCGCTCCGGGCCCTCCTCGGCTCTCGACGGGACCGGCGGTGACACCGGAGCTCGCCGTGCGCTCCCGGCCGCTCTCGGTGGGTGCGGGTCTCTGCACCTGATGCGTTCGGGATGCCTTTCCCACCCTGGCGCGCCCGCCGCTAGCTCGCACAGCGCCTCGCACACGCCCGCACGCGCTTGAAATGCGCAGGGTCCCGCCGGCCCGCGGACCCACTGGGACGCACGGAGCGCTCCGCACCGACTCGCTCGCCGCCTCCGCGAGACGCTCGCACGGTGCTTCGGCCGGGCGCGCCGGCCGCTGGCGCCGCTGGCCAGAGGCCCGGGACCCAGCCAGTCGCTTCCCGGGGGTCACGGCCCTGGGTCGGAGAGGGAGGGCGGGCAGACCCCTTCTCGCCTTTCCTCCTACAACTCGTTTGCGGGGCTTTTGTGCTTCCCCTTCGCCGCGGGGCGGGTCCGCCTCCCTGCTGCTCTCCCCGCGGAGTCCAGCCCGCCCGGACTGTCGCCTTTTCTCCCAGTCTCTTTCGCTTTCCCTCGTCCCTAGCTCAGCTCTTCATCTTTCAGGCGTCTAGCTCCTCGGGAAAAGTTGCTTCCCCAAGTTTGCTGAAGTCGTCTCCAAGTCTCGGTGGGGGGTCGCTGGGAACTGGAGGCGTGTGAGAGCGCGGTCGATCCCCGGAGCTCAGGCGGGTTATCGCCAGTTCTTCCCCGCGCCGCCCGGCTGGACGCTGCAGCCAGCGCTGGCCGGATCGCGGGCGCCGAGCGGCGGGTGGGGAAGACGGCTGCCCGTGGGCGCCCCGATTTCCCTCAGGACCCAAAGGGCTTGTTTTGGGGCGCCAAGCTTCCATTCTTTTGGCTGTTCCCTCCTAGTTCTCAGAAGCCCCAATGTCTGCGGGAAAGCACGCGGTGGCCAGGCTCTGCTGAATGTTCATCCCACCCTTGACGGCCTCCGTCCCCACCCCGGGGTAGGCAACAAAAGTGTCTTGACCAGCCGTCCTGTGAATCCTTTCTGCGTGAGCTTGGTGGCTCCTGAACTGATAGAGCTTCTTTTGGGGGTGGAGGCAAGCAAGCAGTGTTCGAAGAGTGAGGGAGATACCTTACTGTTCCTTGCTCTCAGTGCATTCACTGCAATATTGGTCGCTGCAAGGCAGACACGGGGAGGGCCCTGGGCCTGCGCGGTCTTTCTAACACTCCTTAAGCGGGGTTTGGAGTCTAGGAGCCCTCTTATTGATCCCGAACAGGCTCTGGGAGAGGCCTTTGTTTCCCAGCCCTGTCTTCCCTTCGTACTGGTTGTAACTCACACTACAGATGCTGGTGCCAATATCACTTCCAGCGCCTCTGAGCCATGTCCGGCATCCCTTGCTGCCCCTGGTCACAGGACTTGCAGACTCCTTGGAGCCTGTGGGACACACGTGGAGTTCACACACCCAGCCCAGCATGAGCGCTCCTGGCTGTAGGGGAGCATATTTACTGTGGTCTCTCTCCATACCTTAATGATCCATCCTTCTTCGTTTTTTAGATCCTCCTGTCCACCGGGCAGTTGTGGGCAGGACGGTAGGTACAGCACCTTATGTAAGTGTGTGTGTGTGTGTATGTAAAGACACACACACACGCTTTTTTTTTTTTTTTTTCTGAGACGGAGTTTTGCTGTTGTTGCCCAGGCTGGAGCGCAATGGCACAATCTCGGCTCACCGCAACCTCCGCCTCCCGGGTTCAAGTGATTCTCCTGCCTCAGCCTCGCTAGTAGCTGGGATTACAGGCGGGTGCCACCGCGCCTGGCTAATTTTGTATGTTTTGTAGAGACGAGGCTTCTCCACGTTGGTCAGGCTGGTCTCGAACTCCCGACCCCAGGTGATCCGCCTGCCTGGGCCTCCCAAAGTGCTGGCATTAGAGGCGTGAGACACTACGCCCTGCCCCACACACTCTTTCTGTCTCTGGCTGGTGTACATACACACAGTTCAGATTTTAGATTATACATACAACAACTTTGAGGCTTCCATGGGTAGAAATGACCTAAGTTTGTGTGTGGGTTGTATGTATGTGCCTGTTAGTACCTAGGGATAGGGACAGGGCTTGGGGCTGCCAGTGCTTTGCAGCCCTGAGAATAGTAGAAGGCCAGAGGCCAAGGCTGATGGTGAGAGGATAGCCTTTGTGGAGGAGAGCCCAGTGTCCATAGATGTCTGTGGACCATGACTACAGGCTCCTGGCCTCCAATGAGTTTGACTCTGCTTCTGGGGCTCCTGCAGTGAGGCAGAGTTTAGAAAAACTTTGTTTTAAAGATGAGGTTTGACATCCAGGGGGTTGGCGTGAAGCTGACAAGGAAGGGGCTGAAGTCTTGCTAATTTTAAGTAAGTGCACTTCGTCATCATGAATGTTGGCCTTGCCTAGGGAGCCCCTACTCTCAGATACAGAGAAAGCTGAGGACTTACAGGACTTCACTACAATTTTCATTTCACTTCATCTAACAGATGTCATAGAGTAGTGAATTAGGCATCTGCTGTGGCAGAACCTTCTTTTCACTCTCAGCATCCCTGGGCTTGAAAGGCAGATTTGTAGATTTCTAGGAAGCTACTTCAATTAAAATCTCTCAGATTCTCTTGCTACGGATTTGGCAGCAGGGAGGAGGGGGCATGTTGTAGTGGTTGAATTCTTACTTTTAGGGACACTGATGAATTTGTCTTTTGTTCTCTCATCTCTTTTGCTTCTTCCCCTCTTCTTTCCTCTAGCCCCCTCTATTGGCCCAGGAAGCCCACCCTGCCCCACCACGCAGAGCCCAGAAGGAAAGAGAGCCTCATGCCTGAGCCGAGGGGAGCACCATGGATCTGACAAAAATGGGCATGATCCAGCTGCAGAACCCTAGCCACCCCACGGGGCTGCTGTGCAAGGCCAACCAGATGCGGCTGGCCGGGACTCTGTGCGATGTGGTCATCATGGTGGACAGCCAGGAGTTCCACGCCCACCGGACGGTGCTGGCCTGCACCAGCAAGATGTTTGAGATCCTCTTCCACCGCAACAGTCAGCACTATACTCTGGACTTCCTCTCGCCAAAGACCTTCCAGCAGATTCTGGAGTATGCATATACAGCCACGCTGCAAGCCAAGGCGGAGGACCTGGATGACCTGCTGTATGCTGCCGAGATCCTGGAGATCGAGTACCTGGAGGAGCAGTGCCTGAAGATCCTGGAGACCATCCAGGCCTCAGACGACAATGACACGGAGGCCACCATGGCCGACGGTGGGGCCGAGGAAGAAGAGGACCGCAAGACTCGGTACCTCAAGAACATCTTCATCTCAAAGCATTCCAGCGAGGAGAGTGGGTATGCCAGTGTGGCTGGACAGAGCCTCCCTGCGCCCATGGTGGACCAGAGCCCTTCAGTCTCCACCTCATTTGGTCTTTCAGCCATGAGTCCCACCAAGGCTGCAGTGGACAGTTTGATGACCATAGGACAGTCTCTCCTGCAGGGAACACTTCAGCCACCTGCAGGGCCCGAGGAGCCAACTCTGGCTGGGGGTGGGCGGCACCCTGGGGTGGCTGAGGTGAAGACGGAGATGATGCAGGTGGATGAGGTGCCCAGCCAGGACAGCCCTGGGGCAGCTGAGTCCAGCGTCTCAGGAGGGATGGGGGACAAAGTTGAGGAAAGAGGCAAAGAGGGGCCTGGGACCCCAACTCGAAGCAGCGTCATCACCAGTGCTAGGGAGCTGCACTATGGGCGAGAGGAGAGTGCCGAGCAGCTGCCACCCCCAGCTGAGGCTGGCCAGGCCCCCACTGGCCGACCTGAGCACCCAGCACCCCCGCCTGAGAAGCATCTGGGCATCTACTCCGTGTTGCCCAACCACAAGGCTGACGCTGTGTTGAGCATGCCATCTTCGGTGACCTCTGGCCTCCACGTGCAGCCTGCCCTGGCTGTCTCCATGGACTTCAGCACCTATGGGGGGCTGCTGCCCCAGGGCTTCATCCAGAGGGAGCTGTTCAGCAAGCTGGGGGAGCTGGCTGTGGGCATGAAGTCAGAGAGCCGGACCATCGGGGAGCAGTGCAGCGTGTGTGGGGTCGAGCTTCCTGATAACGAGGCTGTGGAGCAGCACAGGTAGGCCCCGCTCCAGCCCCACACCTGATGTGGGACTTGAGGCCCTCATACCCCTTCTTCACACCCTGGCTGCTCCCAGGTTAGGGGCCTGACACCCCTGTCTTGGCAATTTGTCAAAAAAACAAAAACACTTCTTCTAAGGTTCTGGGGGATAGGGGAGCAGATTTTTTAGAGTGTAGTGAGGGGGCCTAGGATCTTTCCAAAAAGCACCAGGGGACACTCACGGGCTCAGCTTCTTAATAGGCCCTTCCCTCTGTTTTTTGCTTTTGGGCTCCTGTTTGTTTTTTCTGCTGTTTGGTCTGTTCTCCTTTGCTTGGAGTGACTGATAAAATGGAGAGAAGGAGAAAAGGAGTGGGATGAGGGTCTCTTGTGCCCTGGATCTGACCATGTTACTAGGTTTCAGGTCCTCGGATTCCCATGCAGTGGTCCCTGCAAAGACAGGCTTTCTGCAGCTTGGGAGAATGGGAGGGGCTGGAGGCTACTTAAGCCACAAGAGCAGCTGCAGGTTCCAAACCTTATTCCTGGTGAAAGTTCATCTCTTTGCTCTGTCTCCCTTCTCATTCTCTGATCCTGCACATGCGTTTAGGGGGAATTGATTTAAATGCAAGGGGAAAGGATGGGTATGAGAGTCTTGGTCTTGTAGCCTGTGAAGTCTCATTCTTATCCCATCTCTGCTCACATTGAATTAAATGCCGCTTCAGGCTAGCATTGGCTTCCCTCCGGCTTCCGTTTCCTTCTCTATGAAATAACCATTCATTGAGCTCTTATGACATGTTTGGTTCAGTACTAAGCACTTTCCATGAGTTGCATTTTCATTACAACAGCCCTTTGAGATAGGTAATGTCCTCCTTCTTCTTCTTTTTGTTTTTTTTTTGATACGAAGTTTCGCTCATTGCCTAGGCTGGAGTGCAGTGGCGTGATCTTGGCTCACTGCAACCTCTGCCTCCCGGGTTAAAGCGATTCTTCTGCCTCAGCCTCCTGAGTAACTGGGATTACAGGCATGCACCACCACACCCAGCTAATTTTGTATTTTTAGTAGAGACGGGGTTTCACCATGTTGGTCAGGCTGGTGTCGAACTGCTGACCTCAGGTGATCTGCCTGCTTTGGCCTCCCAAAGTGCTGGATTACAGGTGTGAGCCACTGTGCCTGGCCAGTAATGTCCTTCTTTTACATGGAACAATACTAAGGCTCAGATGTCAAGTCTCTTTTCCAGGGTCACATAGATAGTGAGAGGCAGGGCTGGATTCAAATTTAGGTCCTTACCCCCTGGTACTCTGCTGCCTTGAAGAGGATCATGTCTGTGGAACAGAGGGTTTTGGAGATTGCTTGTTGGAAGTGGAGTAAATAACAGAGGGAATCAGTAGTGAGTTGTTTTTCCTTGCCTCTGTCATAAACCTATGCCCATCATTTTACCCTCTAGTTTCTGGGTCAGGTGAATGGAGTCAAGAAATCCAGCTGTCTGTTATCATTGATGACAGGGTTTTGCTGCACACCCTGTGGTCTGCTGTTTTGCTGATTCTCTACCTCCCCCGCTTCACCCCCATTCCCCTGTTGCTCGTTCAGGTACGGGGGATGTGAGTGAGAGGGGTTGGGGTGGGGATATCTGGAAGTTGATCTCATCACCCCAGCCGGAATCTGCTCTGACCCTGCCTCCTCGACAGCTCAGAGGCTTACCTTGTGGAAAGTGCGGCAGAGCTAAACGTAGCCCACTTTTTCCAGTGGGTGCGAAAAATAACCGCCACTAAGGTGTGTCTTCTTGTGCTTCTACTGCTCAGAAATAGACTGAGGTTGTGTTTGTTTTTGCTCAAACTTTCCTAAAGAGGAAACCCCCTCCCCAATGTTGACCAGATCTATGTATCATCTTTCCGGATGTGAATTATTTCGGCTGTGTGCTATGAGAACTGGGGTACGGTGGGAAGTAATTGTTTTTCTGGCTCTCATCAGGTCCTGGTTCCTGGTTGCTTTTCTTTACCTGAGAGGGCCACAAAAGATACCACTCTCTTGAGAGTTCCAAGTTCCCCTTCAGCAAGACCCTCATTCCTCTGGGGAGAGAGGGAGGGTTGGCCATGTTACATTCGAAAGAGCCTGGGTAGTGGAATTGGCCATATTTAGTGGTGAGAGCCTGTGATACTTATTTAACCTTTCTGGGCCTTGTTTCACTCACTACTTTTGTTTTTTTGAGACGGAGTCTCGCTCTGTCACCAGGCTGGAGTCCAGTGGCGGCTGGGACTACAGGCACCCACCACCATGCCCAGCTAATTTTTTTGTATTATTTAGTAGAGACAGGGTTTCATCATGTTAGCCAGGATGGTCTCGATCTCCTGACCTCGTGATCCGCCCACCTCGGCCTCCCAAAGTGCTGGGATTATAGGCGTGAGCCACCGCACGCCCAGCCTTCACTCACTTCTTAAAATGGAGATGGTCAACAGGGTTGGTGCTGAATTAATGAAGTAAGATCCAGAAATCACTAGAGCTGTGATGGGCACATGGTCACTGCAGTGGTGAAGAACTGACCCTCTGTCCCTTGTGTTGTTTAGGCCTCATCTCTGCGTGGTCCTTATTGGCTCTGAGTTCTAGTGTGTAGTGTCCACAGTGCTACTCTCCATGGGGGTTGTGTTGACTGTGAGGTGGTGCAGAGAATGTCCCTGTCCTTGTGAGCATATGACAGCAAGACACTGGTCCTGGAATCCTCGGTGTCACATGTGGTCTGCTGACAGGAAGAATGTGCTTTTGTTGTTGTTGTTGTTGTTGTTGTTGTTGTTGAGGCAGAGTCTTACTCTGTCACCCAGGCTGGAGTGCAGTGGCGTGATCTCGGCTCACTGCAACCTCTACTTCCCAGGTTCAAATGATTCTCCTGCTTCAGCCTGCTGAGCAGCTGGGACTACAGACGTGCACCACCACGCCCGGCTGATTTTTGTATTTTTAGTAGAGGTGGGGTTTCACCATGTTGGCCAGGCTAGCCTGGAACTCCTAGCCTTTAGTGATCCACCTGCCTCGGCCTCCCATAGTGCTGGGATTACATGCATGTGCCACCCTGCTCGGCCAAGGATGTGCTTTTGACTTAGGGTGGAAAGTCAGCGGCTGCAGCCCAAGAAGCTAGAGCCAGGGACAGTGCCTTTGGTGAGAAGCTTGGGGGTCTAAAGAAATCAGAGGAGAAAATAATCTCTTGTGTGCTCGGCCCTCACTCAGATCAGCAGCCCCTCGGGTCCCAGCTAGATGTCCTTTGTGGAAGGCTTTTTTTCTCCCCCTCACCCTCAAAACTCCAGGATTAATGTGTTGTTCCGTTTTTTCTACTGTTCTCTGTCTCCCCCCAACCCATCAGCATTCTGGGAAATGCTGTGGTGGAAGAAAAAACAGCCCTATAACCAGTACAAACAAAAAGCCAAGACATAAAAAAAAAAAAAAAAAAAAAAAAAAAAAAAGGGGAGATTTTGATGCCAGGAAGCCGTGACATTCACTGGAAACATATCAGTGATAAAATAACAGGCTACAGGGTTTATTTTATTTTATTTTTAAGTCAACAGGCCTGAGTGTTGGTAAAGATTAGATACCTAGCAATCCTTCTTGCATTTCTCCTTGGGGTGGGGGGCAGAAGGGAATTCAGAGGAAATGAAGGCAGATTGCTGCTAAATGAGGCAGGAAGGCAGGGAGTTTATTATGGAATGTCATCGGTAGGTTTCCCCTTGATTTGATCCCAAGCTGGTGTGGAGTGAGGCGTAACCTGTTGGCTCAACAGATAGTGAGAATCAAACTTAGTGGAGTTGTAGATCCCGTTTCCCGCAGCAGACAGCAAGATGTACAAGCCGTCCACTGTAGGAATGACATGCTGTAAAATGGATGCAATGTCAAGTGTAGTCATGGATGGGTGGGAAGATCAGACAAAGGCACCACACAGGTAAATCAAATGGGACTGACTTACCGAAATGAACCAGAAGGAAGTCAGGACAGTGAGAAGGTCTGATAGATAAGCAGTATTCTGCAGGCAGATGAAGGAGCAAGTTTCAGGCTCCCAAATGTTCACCAGTGAGTCCACATTACAGAGGATAATGCCTGAGGGAGGGGAAGCTCATCTCAGGAGTCTGGAACACTGGACTCTCCCTTTCTCATTCTGAAAGGCTGGAGCAGTTCTGCATGTAGGCTTCTCTGGATATGGTCTAGGAATCAGCTCAACCAGGCCAGGTGCACCTGATCATTCTCAGAGTTATGTACATATGCGATAAGATTGCAGGGAACAGTATAGTTGACTGAAGTGTGAACATAGTCCTCGTTTATAGTCCCTAGTCTCCCGTGGCTCATACAGCTTGGTCTTTATGTATTTCTGAATTTAGTGCAGCAGAAGCACAATGGGGTCTGGTTTCCAGAGTCCCCTGGATCTTATACAGACAAGCACTTAGGTCAGCTGCAGTGGATGTCCTGCACAGACACCATCGTTGCAATGCTTGCCTGGTTCCTTGTTTTTTTTTTTTTGGAGATGGAGTCTCGCTCTGTCTCCCAGGCTGGAGTGCAGTGGTGTGATCTTGGCTCACTGCAAGCTGTGCCTCCCAGGTTCACGCCATTCTCCTGCCTCAGCCTCCCGAGTAGCTGGGACTACAGGCGCCCACCACCATGCCCGGCTAATGTTTTGTATTTTTAGTAGAGATGGGGTTTCACCATGTTAGCCAGGATGGTCTCGATCTCCTGACCTCGTGATCTGCCCGCTTCAGCCTCCCAAAGTGCTGGGATTACAGGTGTGAGCCACCACACCTGGCCTCTTGCCTGGTTCTTGAAGGGATTCTCAGGAACCACAGGGAATGTCTGAGCCAGCTTTCTGGATCCATGTGTACAGCCCTTCCCAGAGGCTTTGTGGAGCCAGCTCTACAGTGCATGAGCCATGGGGCTAAGATATCAGAGTTCTGCCTGGCCCTTGGCCTTGGTCTCTCTCAGACGGTCAGCTGCTCTGTATTTAGTGGTTGATCATGTAGAAGGCCAACAGGTGTTGACCTTGGTTTAGGCTGCTTTT